TGGTTTAAGGTAAGTACATGAAAAATATGTTTGAGTAAATAAATAAATGGGGAGATTCCATAAAGGTTTAGTGGAAAATGTAGTGTTGTTAAAGTTTAGTAGGGAAATTTCATTAAAGTGACTTTGACAAATGACAACTTTTTCTATTGTAAATGAGGTTTTTTTTTTTTTTTTTTAAAAGAAACCATTGTTAAGAAAGTTCAAAGCTTTATGAGGTACAGTATTTAAAAAAAAAAATCAAAGTCTTAATGGTTAAATCAAAAATATATTCTTTAGTTGATTAAACCGAAAAGGGAAATTTTCAATAAAGTCCCAATATTTTGGGCCAGTTTACGGTTTAATCTCAAATTAATTTTTTTTACAAAGAAATAGAGATTACAAGCTAAAACTTCGGAAATTTGGCTGGTATCCCGACTTTTTTCGTTAATTAGTCAAAATATTGAGATTTTTCTGAATATTACGTTATATTTTACCAATAACCAAAATTAGTTTAAGAATAATCTTTAGAAAAGTTTCAATATTTTAGTTATTGGTAAAAAATAACGTAATAATATAGATTAGTTCATAATCTTTAGAAAAATCTCAATATTTCGACTATTTGTAAAAATAACATAATCTTTAAAAAAAATCCTAATATTTTGACAAATTAACGAAAAAAGACGGATTACTGGCTAAATTTGCGAAACTGGCAAAAAAGGATCATTCGGAAGTTTTAGCAAGTAATCTGTCTTTTTTTTTTTTTTTTGTAAACAATCATTAATTTGGGATTAAACCATAAACTGATCCAAAATATTAAAACTTTATTGGAGATTTCCCAAATGTAACAAATTCAAACTACAATGATTTTTATAGAATTTAGCCTTATTACTTTTGGTGATAATTGTTTGTAATCATATTTAATAGGTCAATATATAGAAAAAACACTTGGGATTTTCAGCATGTTATTGATTTAATCCCGTAACTATTTCATGTAGTCACTAAACCATTATACTTTTCTTTAAACATTAGAAAATAAGCATTTATTGTATCAATGCTATATATTAAATTTTCACTGCTATATATTAAATTTTCAATCAATTTAGCCACATAATTATTTAGCTAACTGATCTTAGCTTATAAGCTATTTGAGATAGTTGACTTATAAGCTAGTTTTTTGATAAGCTAAGTTATTATCTTTTATTGATAAGCTACTTAAGATAGCTTATTTACTTATAAGCTAAATACAGTGAGAAAAAATTTGGTGTTCAACTTACAAGAAGGTCGTATTTAGTCTTCAATTCTTGATAAACCACAAGCTGTCGTGGATCCGTCACTATCACCGCCGTTCCACGTCCAACCTGCACACCAGAAGCCACATCACAACCAAGAAACCAATCAGAAACAGAACAAAAAAGAAGAACAAGAAGAAGATGGAATCATGGAGATGAAAATGGAAAATCAATTACATTGCTAGGCTTGTTGAGAGGTTTTCCGGTCAATCTCCCAAACCTACTGACATAAGGCCGACCGGATCTTCTACTCTCAACAACACCACCATTAACACCACCCACATTTAGTCTTCCAGCCCTCTTCGGCTTTCTTCGTGGCGCCAACACATTTCCAGACAACGGCACAGTCACCGGCCCTATTCCAATCCTTCTCGGTCTACCAACGCCCTTCTTCACTTTCGGCGGACGACCACGCCCCTTTTTAGCCGATGTGTTTTCAGTCGGTGGCGGCGGTGGTAGTGACGGAGCTGCACCACCGTCGTCGCCCAATCCTAGTGAAGCAAAAAGAGGCTCCGACCCCGCTGTAGCATTAGCATTCCCTTGAAAATCCGAACCGGAGCCATGGTTAACGGGAAGATCTTCGCCGACATCGACATCGTATTGATATTGAGGTTGATAAGACAGAGGAGGAGGAGGAGGAGGAGCTGCATCATATGGTTGTACATTCGGCATCTGAGTTTGTACCCCTATTCCCGAATCAGATCTATTTTTCGGAGGACGACCGACTTTCCTTTTCGTTGAACCAGGAGGAGGTGAAATTGTAGGAGCATTTACATCGGTAGCATGATTAACATCACCAGTTTCAGTATAACCGAATGTTGAATGATAATCGGTGGATGTAGGAGGTTGAAATTGATCAGATCTGGGAGGAAACATGTAAGAGTATTTGACCATTATGAGCTGACCCTCGTTCCTCAAACGTTTCAGATGGTGAGTCAACAGGATTGAGTGAGTTGGAGGTAAATTCTTGTACTCTTTCTCTATGTATTTAGATATCGCTTGCTTACTAGATCCATCTTTATCCTTTAGAGCAGTAATTGCCTCTATTATCATCTGTTAAAAACCGAAACAAATTCATAACATAGTTTAAGCAAATTTTCAAGGAGATACATCGGAGAATCATACAGAGAGATAGAGAGAGAGAGAGAGAGAGAGAGAGAGAAAGAGAGAATTGTTACCTCGGTGTAAGGAGGATGGGTTTGGGTAGGACGCAGCGTCGGAGGAGGGTCGGAGACGTGATCGGCGAGGTGGGTGGTCATCGGCGGTATATCCGTCATAGGGTCCATAGAGAGAGACTGATAAGGGAAGGGAAATGGAAAGGGTTTTGTGATGATTTTTAAGCCCTCTTGGGGATTATATGTCACTTTTTATGAGAAATTTTTTAAGAAATTGTTTCTAGGGATGTTTGGTTTTGTGTTGAAAAGAAGTCAATAAACAATTCAACATTGGATAACGGAAATACTACTAGTTTTTTTTTAAAGATATTTTATTCTCACCTGTAGATTTTTCCAAGAAGTTGCTTTTTTTTTTTAATTAATTTGAAACCTTTTATAACTTTTTTTCCAAGAAATTGCTTTTTTTTTTTAATTAATTTGAAACCTTTTATAACTTTTAACTTTTTGATATAAAAATAGAATAACAAATGAAGCCCATATTCTCTTTTCCCTTTTTTGGGGTAATTTTACAACTATAATTAGTTTTATCAAAAAATTGGAAAAAAAAAAAAAAAAAACTTATCACTTATAGCTTTTTGTATCAAATAAACTAATTCTAATATATTTTTTTACAAAAGTTTATTTTGTTACCATATAAGTTAACAAGTATTTTTATTAAAAGAAATTATTTTAAAACACAAAACCAAACACCCCTTTAATAGAAACTAGGTGGGAAACCCCGCTACGCGGGATGTGGATTTGTTCATTGTAACATCCGGAATTTCAGGTATTATATTTATTCATTTTATTTTGAGTTTTGTGGAAGAACTCGGCGAGTTGGTGCGTAGACTCGCTGAGTAGAGACGCGATTTCTCATCCGGATTAATGACCGGACTCGACGAGTCGCATTGGTGGACTCGGCGAGTCCACGCTGTTTAATGAAACCCTAATTTCTCGGGTTTGGGGCCTATTTAAAGGGCCTTATGGCCGTCATTTGTGCTCACCAGTCCCCAGAGTGAAACCCTAGTGAGCTTGAGCGTTTGGAGTGAGAGAATGAGACATTGTTAACCTTGGCTGTCATTTAAGCATTCACATATTTAATTGATAAATGTAGAGCAGAGAGAGCATCAGTTATTATACAAACATCCAAACGAAAATGGTATTTTAATGAGATAATTGTTTATTAATTGAACTATTTTCATGGGAATCACATGTGGTTTTCAAGTGCAGAATTGTGACCATCAGTTTCTTTTGCTTGTGATGAAGGTACTTGATTGATGGAATACAGGTGATGGAGATGAAATGAATGTTCATGGTGTTAAATATTAATTTCAGTTCCTACAGTGCTGATTTTGATAGAGATGAAATGAATGTTCATTTACCACAAGATGAGGGTCATGACTATTCAATGGTAATTAAGTATATTGTTTTCATTTTATATCTATTTTTTTATTACGACTTTCAATAATAATATTTTGTTTCTATATGTTGTCAATGAGTAGGTATTGGTGTTTCAAGGTGGACCAGGTTGGAATCTCTAACCACAAAAGGGAGATGAACTTTGTAATTGGCGTTTCAAAAATAGGTTAGTCAACTTTTTTCCTTCTTATATCGAGCTGACATTTTATTAAATTTCCAATTCAAATATGTATTGATAGATATGTCAATTAATCAAAGATGGCTTTTGTCACATTTTTTATTAAAATTTATATGTAGGTACACATGTACGATCTATAATCTTGTGGATATCAATCGATCTCTGATAGATTTTGTTCTATGCATCAAGGAATACTTTTTCTTTATCTTTTATGCAGTGGGAACCATGTCATGCAGTTGTTGCCACACCTTTGCTTATTGCATTTGAACTGCTTCTTTGCATCTATCTTAAAAATAGCAATGGTATGACAACATATGATATTATTATATTAACTGATTATAAAATAATACCATGTATATCGGTTCTGATTCAATACTAATTTTGTTTTATGTAGTTACTAAGCCTCCACCTTTAAGCCTTCAAATTGTCTTCCTTCCTCTGTTAGCATTTGAAGTAACCATTCTGACACATTTTTTCCATCTTTCCTTCACTACAGGTGTACCATGAGTCAGACAAGAGGAGAACCAATCAATAGTAGTCCTGCATTTGAGAATATAAGTGCAGGTATTTCAAGGAGCTGATCAATGATATTCATGCATTTAATTTCTAAATTGTCTCATGTACTAATGATTATATGCTTCAATCATTCGTCCTTTATTTTCCAGTTGTTGTGAATTTAAAGAAACATTTTCATGCTACTTGATAAATTAATATAAAGAAACAAGAAAACCTTTTACTTTTATTATAGGTGCTTCACTTGCTGTTGTTGTGGATGCTGTCAGAAAAGGTGTAGCTGCATAAGGCATGACAATTACAGACTATGTTTGGCGTGGACATGATCCCACATCTTAGTAAGACTGGACCTCACTTAACCTTTTTAAAGCTAAATTCGAGGTAATGCTATTAATTTGAATACCTTTTTAACTTCATACAAATCTTATTTCTTCCATTCTTTTCATTTTTTTATAAATACAAGCTGTTATGGATGAAGCAAGATCTGAACAAGCTACATCCATGACTGAATTTCATTGGCTAGGGCATAAATTTCCAATATCAAATGCCAAAACTCGCGTTTCCATTTTGAAAGGTTACTTATCATTTATCAGTCTTTAGTGCTTCCGAGGGTATGTCTAATTCTTCGATTTCCCAATTCACCCTTTCAACTATAGGTGTTGTATTAGGGCAACTTACCGTTGAACGCAACCAACTGTTTGTTAGTATTGCAAAGAGTAAAAGATAAATTAGATTACACATGTCAAAGAGTCTCAATATTGATAACTGTTATGTATGGTCTATCAACACTTTACCACCCATTTTTTTAAATTTATAAATACGTAATGTATTAAATATGATTATAAAGCTATACTGTTATTGTTGCTATAGCTTAATTTATTCTATTCAATAGGACAATTTGAGATGTTGTAAGCACTTAATTGACCTTAGGTGTAGTTGATTTATTTGATTCGGCCAACCTTTTGACATCATGCCTAATTGCCTATAGTTTTATTTAATTGGACCTTGATTACTTTAATCTTGAAACTTAATTGCCTATAGTTTTATTTAATTGGACCTTGATTACTTTAATCTTGAAACTTAAAAGAGGAAATATTAGTAAGTTAAATAGTTTCTTATTGTACAGTTACATATTTCATGACAAATAATAATAAGATAACGGAAATAGGAATTTCCTAATAAATAAATAAACAATAACATAACATTTAGCTATTTACCTCAAATAATATTAAATTTGTCAATTGTTAACTGAAACAGGTAATCCCTACTAAATATGACAATTGAAAACTAAAATTTGCAATTGCTAAATCCTAATAAGTAATAATCTAATATCAACTCAAAATTCTAGAAATAAACATGCTCAATAAATAGAAAATAAAATTTTATTTTTTTGGGTTAATAAACATCCTCCCTAAATATCTCACGATTTCAAAACTAATCAAGCCGTTCTAATCATCATAAATCAAGGTTATAAAAAATTTGTCATGGTGTGTCATGCCTCTATAGTTTGTACTTGACAGATCAATTTATAGCAACGTATTTCCGTTAAATGGACATTTGTTTCGGTGAAAAAAATTAACTAAAGCGAGCACATTTTGGTCAAAATGAGATAGTTTTTGGAAAGGTCAAATTGACAAAAATGCGACCATTTTGGCATCAGGTGAAAATTGTGCTATAAAAATAACATGGAGCCTACAAAAGGTGATTAGGGGAATTTTATTAACTTTGGCAAAGTTTCAGTCTGAAATCACCAAATACAATTACGGGCGTTTTAGTAATCCTGAAATTCCTGATTTTAATGAGGTTTACTTAACATTTTTATATAACAGTTTCCGCATTCTATTATTGTTTTGATTTTATATCTACAATTTATATGAAATAATATTTTAATATGATTCCTTTTTTTTCCTATATATGAAATAGGAAGTTGGTGTAACCATTATCGCAACTATCATTGGTTTTGATATGGATGATGGTTGGTATTCATTTTATTGCCGTGATTGTTCTAAAAAATTTACTAAAAATGATGATGATGTTGATGCTGGCCCTTTTCACTGTGATGGTTGTGGATTTGTCTTGGATGTATTTGGAAAGTAAGTAATTATTATCTCTTTGACTATGCATGTATTTTGCTTTTTTCATATATTTCATTGTGTATGTCAAGCTAAATATAAGTATTATGTTATAATTTTTAGGATTAGGATAGTAGTTCATGTGCAAGATGAAAGTGACTCTTCTTCGTTTGTATTGTTTGAGCATCATGTAAAAGATCTTATTCATCGTGGAAACCAATGGTTGATGTAAAAAATAGCTAAGGTTTGATAAAATATTTCCGTTATTTGAATGATTGACATATATGATTTTTCTTCTTTAACTTTTCCAACCATTTTATAATGTAAATTAGGATCAAGGGCGACAACAGATACCTGATGAGTTCAAAATTCTTCTAAATAAGAAATTTGTCTTCAAAGTTCAGATTTCCATGTTCAATCTGCAGAACAACTATCGTGCTTACACCGTGCATAAGTTAACCGATGATGAAAGGGTTCTTGATGAGGTGACAAAACGGTCACCAAATCATCAACATCATAATATAAATGATAATGATACTCCTATTAACAAGCCAAATAAGGTTGGTAACTGTCTCATATATTTCCAAAGTCAAACCTTGTGTCCTCTCTTCAATATATTTTTCTTTCATTTTTCATGACTTTGTGCAAATATGTTATGTTTTGTTTTATGTTTTTCTTGATCGATATTTATTATTTTCTGTTTTCTGCAGGAAAATACTAATTCTGTGCATGATGACAATCTTGATGTTGTTGACCTTGAAGTTGTAACACCATCATCGAGTACGGGGAAGCGCCCTATTGAGATTGATGCCAACACTGACTCTTTGGAGTGGTCTTCTTCAAAAACTTGTGCTGTACGAGATACCTTGAAGATCCCAAAGTTGGAAAAGTTTGACTAATATGAAGCCGCCCATCAAAATTTTACATATCATCTTCGATATGTTTATAGACATTTTCTTTTTAATCTTTTGTGTGTCGCATTTTTAATTGTCTGTTTATTGATCTTTTGGTTGTTTTTAAAATTTTATTGAGTTTTTATTTGGTGTGTACACGATGATACAATTGGAGGTTATGACAATTTCAAGTTATTGAACTCTTTTGATTTAATGCATATTTTCTTTCTTTTTTCTTTCGTTCATCATTTGATTTTATAAATTTATTATTATTATTATTATTATTATTATTATTATTATTATTATATATACACACACACACAGAGACACAAACACAAAAATTAATAATTTTTTATATATATGCTAATTCACCTACTTTTATTTGTCTAAATGGAATTTAAATTTTATTTGCATAAATATACATCGTTTACATATGGTAACAGAATAAAATCATAGTGTAAGTATTCAAAATGTATTTTTCTATATTTTATTTATTCCTACCATAATTATATGCATGCTTTACTTTTTACCTAATTTAAATCCTTCTAATATTCACTTACCTAATATATATATATATATATATATATATATATATATATATATATATATATATATTTTGATATATTTATATTTTTATTATATATGATATTTCACCTACTTTTATTTGTTAAAGTCAAATTTAAATTTTATTTGCATAAATATGCATCGTTTTTATATGGTAACGGAATAAAATAATGGAATATGTAATCAAAATCAATTTTTCTATAGTGCATTTATTCCCTCCATAATTATATGAAGACTTTATTTTTTACCTAAGTTAAACCCAACTAATATTTCGTTACTTTATTTAATTATATGCAATATTTATTTTTTACCAAATTTAAACCCTTCAAATATCCAGTTCCCTTATTTAAAGTGTTAGAAATCATCATCATAACTATATATATATATATATATATATATATATATATATATATATATATATGACTAAGAATGTAAAAATTATCAAACATATCAAATGCTTCGGGAAAGAAAAAACCTACAAGGTTTGTTACTAATGTTTCACCCAACAACACCACTGTCTGACATCACAAATGGTAAGATTCATATTTAAGCATTTTGTTTATATTTGAAGTGCTTAAATGTTTATAATGTTCAATTTGTATAACTCATTTCTCTTTATATTTCATTTGATTTTTTGATATACATACCATTGTTCCTTAATGAATGCATCATCTTCATCGAATGCTCTAAAAACATCATCACATTCAACATTACAAACAATATCCAATAAAGGTACATTTTCTTATATGTTATGCATCTTTTATATTACACTTTCGTTTTTATATTTGCTTATCTATTGTACTATTAATATTTTTTAATATTTCTCCTCTGTTTATGATACGAATCTTCATTTCAGAAAATAATTTTTTCATACCACCTAATTATCGAGTAACCTTTCCGAATTACCTAAGGCTACCCCGTCTCATAACATCATACAACCAAATGTTCAATCAACATTTATTTTCCCAAGATCGCCACTTTCACACCTAACCAATTAAGGTAAAGTATTCTTAATTTCTTTTATATTATATTTATATCCACTTCTTAAATCATATAACGTCAATTTTAACTTTCCAATACATAAACTTTTAACTTTTAATTTTTAATACATATATGTCTATAATATCTAATTTGTATAACTATATTTTTTAATACATATAGGTCTATAATATCTAATTTGGGTAACTATATTTTTCCTTTAATATCTTATTTAATTTAATGTTTTATATATACTTTTCCTCTTTAGTTCATTCATTCTCTTCATCGAATGCTTTGAAAACACCATCATCTCAGACAATACAAAAAAATTCTCACAAAGGTACATTTTCTTATATGTTATGTCTCTTTTGTATTGCATTTTTTGTTTTTTTATTTGCTTATGTGTATTAAATTCATATATTTTATTTATATATTTCGCTATATTATCATACAAATTTTCATTTTTCAGAAAATAGTTTCTTCATACCCCCTAATTGTCGAGTTGCTCAAAAGTTTACCGAATTACCTCCAGACTTTTCCAACAACCAAGATACAATTCAGCACAACACAACTCATTCAACAACAACGAAACGAAAACGATTTAATACACAAAATATTCCATTTTTTGAGTTAAATGAAGATTTCGTTGAACCTTCAGGTACCCATATTGTTCAACTTGATCGTTTATCTATTAATAATGATCAACTTCATCATTCAATTGTGTTATTATATATTTTATTCATACATCTAGTTACACATTTTTCAGTTGGTACCAGCGTTAACTATAAAGAAAAGAAAAAAAGAGGTAGACCAATTTCTACAAAAAAGAAGACACAAATATGTATTCCTTCTACGTCAAATGCTCCGAATGATGTAACCGGTAACAATCATAGTAAATATATCGGAATAAGCAAAGGTATTATATCCACACCACAAGTTATTTGTCATGACAAATAAAATGCCATTACCCTATTACATTTAAAGCATACCACAAATATAATTTCGTAAATTTGTTTATTTATTTATAGATTATTTGGATTATGGAGATGTTGTATATGTTTGCTCAGTATGTAAAGCTAAGGTGTGGCAGGGAGAAGCAATTCGAGGAAATAAGGATTTAAAGAAAACATTTTATTCCATTTGTTGTTACAATGGAAAAGTTGAACTACCCAATCTGATTCACCCACCTCAGTTGTTGCTTGATTTATATAGCGGTCTTTCGGAAAAAAGTCAAAACTTTATACAGAATATACGTCGATACAATATGATGTTCGCATTCACATCTATGGTTGGAAAGATTGATCACACTGTTAACTCAGGAGGTGGTCCTTATGTTTATTGAATGCATGGCCAAAATTATCATATTGCAGGCAGCTTACTTCCCGAAGAGGGTGAATCACCCAGATTTTGCCAGTTGTACATATATGATACATATCATGAGGTTCAAAACAGATTCAAATCATGCGAGTGTGTGAATACCCTATATTATATAACTCCATTAGTTTTATATATATATATATATATATATGTGGGAAAAGTGAATATACCCTTAAGGGTATATAAGCTTAGGTACCCAAACTCACCATACTACATCGTTTTGTATCATATATAGACATTGTAATTGTCTAATGTTCTTATAATTGAACTTCTAACTTGAATTACTTCAAAGATTTTCATAAATTTCATATTTATCTTCCTCTTACATATGTAACGACCCAATTTTCACGTCCAAAAATTTCGTTTTAAAACCTTACTTTAGAAAACATTAATAATTAAAACATTGTTTGATCAAACCACAACACAACGCAAACCATGTTTAAAAGCCAAACCATACAACCCATCAAAATATCAGAGTACAAATCCCAATGAATCTCGTAAATGCGGAAACCAGAGTGTGTGCATGATGTGCCGCTACCGCGCCAGCTCCTTCCCCTTCGAAGAAGAGGTACCTGAAAACAAAACTGTAAAACGTAAGCACAAAGCTTAGTGAGTTCCCCCACTGTACCACATACCACATAATCACATAACATACATAAATTTGTCAGGCATATCTGGGTGCCCAACCTACCCCTTCGGTCCTCTCGACCGGATACTGCCTAGCATATCTGGGTGCTGGCCTCCCCTTCGGTCCTTTCGACCGGATACTGCCTAGCATATCTGGGTGTTGGCCTCCCCTTCGGTCCTTTCGACCGGATACTGCCTAGCATATTTGGGTGCTGGCCTCCCCTTCGGTCCTTTCGACCGGATACTGGGGACTATTTCACCCCCTACTACTACCACATAACACATATATCACATAGTCTATCTAGCATGGCTGGGCATAACCGCCCCTTCGGTCCTATCGACCGGTATTCTGGGGGACTATCTCCCCCTACTGTCACTAACACATAACATAACACAATAGTAGCAACCCTAGATGAATATCACAAAGACAATCATCTAATCACACATCTCCTACTGATGGGTCGGCATTGTGGCCTTAGACCCACCGCTACTAGAAGGCAACTCACCTAAAAGTAGCTGCTAAACTGATCGGGATCTGACTGACCGCTGTTGCTGCTCCAGAACTCCTCCGACTGCAATTCCCAAAACATACTTAATCACACACTGCTAACTGTCCTTTGGGTAAAATGACCATTTTACCCCTGGTCTAGCCCTAAGTCAAAATCAGAGTCAACTTTCAGTTGACCCGACTCGTCGAGTTGGCTCTCCAACTCGCCGAGTCCCTATCCAGACGATTGTCCTGAGTCCCTGATTCTACTCGTCGAGTTAGGCTATGACTCGACGAGTTCTTCTTCTAAACTGACATTGAAGTTCTTCGTCCTACTCGCCGAGTTGTATGAACAACTCGTCGAGGTCATCTTCATCCAATGAACACTCATGCTTAGACTCGCCGAGTTGTATGAACAACTCGCCGAGTCTGTTCTTGATCTATGAAGATTGCCTTGGACTCGCCGAGCCAGGCCATGACTCGCCGAGTCCTACCATGGGTGAGTTCAGCTTCCAACTCACCCGAGTCACCCCATGTGACTCACTGCTCAAACTCAATACAACATAAAGGGACCAATTCGGTGACTCGCCGAGTCACATGAACGACTCACTGAGTCGTCGCCATGCATCCATTAAATACACCAATTTGTTCGATTTCAGTCCATGCCATTCATAGATCTGGGCTTCTAAGACACGAATCACACGTAAAGTTTCCAACTTTACGTGTAGATATTCACCAATATGGATTTTAGGGTTCAAAATGCCTCAAAAGGGTAGATCTAGGATGAACAAGCCATATGGGTCCATAAGGCTAACAGATCTGAGCTCCTGGAGCTCAATCTTGCCTAGATCTAAAGGCCAATCCACTTATTACGAAACATTATGCACAAACAAGCTTGGGGAATTGCTCAAGAGTGTCTTAAATGAAATCTTAAGCATAGAAACAGGGGGGAAATGAGATATACCTCAATGAAACAACTGAAAAACACAATGATGCTTGGATGGCTCTCCTTCCTCTTGATCTTCTTCCCCTTCTTGCCTTAAAACCTTCAAGAATACACACAAGAGCCTC